CTCTGACATCACTCCTGCATGACATCACTCCCACGTCCATTTTTGGGTGGGGTCTCCACCTGTGACGTCACTCCCTGATGACGTCACTCTCCCAACGCACTGTCGTCATTGGCAGGGTTATTTCCGTCCATTACGTCACTCCCTGATGACGTCACTCCCAATGACGTCACTCCCTGATGACGTCACTCCCGATGACGTCACTCCCCATGCACTGCCGCCATTTTGGAGGGGATTTTTGGGGTTTTTTACCCCATTTTGGGAGGGTGCGGCCCCCACTACAGAGAGTCCTCATCCATGACGTCACTCCCCCAATGACGTCACACCCAATGACGTCACTGCCCCCATTTTGGGGGCAATTTTTTTCCAAATACAGGGATGCCCCACCCATGATGTCACTCAGCGATGACATCACTCCCAGTGACGTCACTCCCCATCCACTGCCCCCATTTTGAAGGGGATTTTGGGGCGATTTTGCCCCATTTTGCAGCCCAGGGGATGCACACTTTGGGTTTTTTCCAGTTTTTTGGATCCACAAATTTTCCAATATCTCCCGTTTTTTAGGGTCTTGAAATTTCCAATTTTCTCCATTTTTTAGGGATGCAAATTTTTCAATTTCTCCATTTTTTCGGGTCTCGAAATTTTCAGATTTCCTCCCAATTTTTAGGTTCCAAATTTTTCCAATTTCTCCATTTTTTAGGGTCTCAAAATTTCAGACTTTTCCCATTTTTTAGGGACCCAAATTTTACCGATTTTTCCATTTTTTGGGTTCTCAGATTTCCGATTTTTGGGGGTTTTTGGGGGGATTTTGGGGGGATTTTTGGGCGATTTTGCCCCATTTCAGGGGCGATTTGGGGGGGATTTTTGGGGGGATTTTGGGGCCATTTTACCCCATTTTGGTGCGATTTTGCCCCAATACAGGGATGCCCCACCCATGACATCACTCCCCGATGCCATCACTCCTGATGACAACACAATGACGTCACTCCCTTGTCCCCCAAATCCACTCCCCGAGCGCCATCGCTCTGCACCGCAGCACCCCCAGCGCCGCCTGCAGCGCCCCGCACACCCCCGCGGGTCCCCCCGCGCTCCGCAGCGCCCCCCAGAGGCCGCGCATTTCCCGCGGCCGCAGCCCGTGCGCGCTCAGCAGCGCCCGCCCCGCGCAGCAGCGCTCCAGCGGGAACCGCGCTCCCCCCGCGAACCGCGCCGAGTGCCGCGCCGCGACCCCCGCCCGCCGAGCGCACAGCCCCACCCAAACATCCTCGGGAGCCACCAGCGGAACCCCGGGAGCCGCCGCCAGCAGCGCTGTCGCCGCCTGTCGCGATAGAGCGTAGGCGGTGCCGCTGCAGTAGGGCGGGAAGGAGGATTCGGGGTACAAAACCCGCGGGACGTGGTGGCGGCTGCGCGGGTCGCGGTTTGGGGACACGCGCCAGTGGACGCGGCCCAGGTAGAGGCGCGGSGGGGTGGAGGGGCGCGACAGCAATGTCGCGATAGAGGGGACGTTGAGGAAAATGTCGTCGTCGGCTTTGAGGAGGAAAGGAGCGGCCTCGCAGCAGGAGCGAGCCCAGCGCAGCAAAAGCAGCGTTTTCAGGGTTAAATTGGCGTAAACGTCGCGGAAATCGCCCAGGAGGATGTCGCGATATTGTCGCGATTCCTGCAGGAGGTCGCGTTGGGATTGAGGGGAGGGGGCGGCGCCCAACACGAACACGGTGCGGGTCGGGAGGGGCGGGGCTCCGCCAGGCTCCGCCCACGGCCACGCCCCGCCCCAGGTGTCGCGCACGGCGTCGCGATTGTCGCGATGGGAGGGGGCGCTGGGCACGAGGATCAGCAGGAAAGGGGCGGGGCTGGAGCAGGGGGGCGGGGCCAGCAGCACGGGGGGGGTGGGGAGGGGGTCCCGACCCTCGGAAAGGGCGCCAGAGCCCCCCGAGAGGAGCCCGAGGCAGCCGGGGGGGAGTCCCGGGCTACCAATCGCGATATCGGGGCCACCAATCGCGATATGGGGGCTACCAATCGCGATATCGGGGCCACCAATCGCGATATGGGGGCTACCAATCGCGATATCGGGGCTACCAATCGCGATATTCGAGGCGCCGATCGCGACCCCCAAACTCCCGTTGATCCCACTCGCGACCCCCGGAAGGCTCTGCCCAGGCCCCGCCCCCTCTCCAAACCCCGCCCCTCCCGTAGAAAACCCCGCCCCATTCATGGAATCCCCGCCCCCGTTTACAAATCC